CCGGCCGCGCCGCCCGCGGGGTCCGCGAAAACGATGGGGCGATTTGTTGTCTCGCCAACCTGCGCATCGTGCGTGGCCCACGCGTCGTCGCTGTCCGCCGTGAAGCGGGCCGCCCACCCACAGACTCGCACCGATTCCGGCAGCGTCGCGCCCGGGGGCGGCGGAAGCGGCAGCTTCACCGGCAGCCTCCTCCACTCGAGCACCGCGGCGCTGCGGCACGCGCGAAAACCCGTTTGCCAAACGCCGAACCACCAAAGTTGCGCCCCCAAATGCTGCAGGCCGTGCGGCGTCCCAGACGGGGCGGGTCCGGGGTAAACAATGCGACCGCGGCCGTTTCGAGTGAACTGCTCTGCCTTGCGGGGGCGGCGCCGCCACGGGGCGTCGGCGCCAAACCAAAATGTCGAAAATGAATTTAAACAAAAGCACCCGCACTCTTTCACAGCAAAATGCGTCTCAAAGAGAACACGCGACGCAACTTGCCTCTCCTTCAACCGCTTCTCCGAAAGAGGGATCCGCTTCTTACGCCAGAGAAACCGCCAGCATCCACCGAGCGATCCGCAGAACAGGACCCGGATTCAATTCTGCGTCTCCGCAAAGCCGGAGAAACCGCCACCGGCAAACCCGCGGCGCGAGAGACGTCGTCACGCGTCGGCGCGTGCGGGTTGTTGGGTTGGAAATCAACTGCATTTCCCCCGGGCCTCCTGAACACGGCGCCGCCCAAAGCCCGGCCGCCGCCCGCGCAAGCCGAAGTAAAGCCTAAGTGGGTAATTGGTGGCTCTGGCTGGCCTCTTCTCAAGGCATTGAACTCGCTGGCGCCGCGGCGGTTCTTGGGGAAGACGGGGGCGCTCCCGCCCGACAAAAACACGGGCCCGAGTTGGGTGGGAGTGGGGCAAAGTGTTTGGGCTGGTTTACTTTGCGGGGCGGCGCAGCTAGTTGGTTGGTTGTAGGTTTTCTCCCTTGTCCGGCGCGCTCTGTGGCGCCGCGGCAGGGCCGGCAAAGAGGAGAGAGGGCGTTTGGGTTTTGGATGGAGGAGTCGTTGGCCGTGTTTTACGTCTGTTGCTTGCGGGGTGGATCGTGTATTGTGGCTTTTTTTTTGGCCTGGTTTCGCGTGCCCCAAATCCTGGCTTTCTGGTAGTGACGTGTGTTTCATGTGTTGTTTATCTGTGGGTTAATGCGCGTTTTTTTTTGACTGCTACTGCACGCCATTTCTTCCGATTCTAACGTGTTAGTTGAGATCCGGCTTGCTGTATTATTGTTATTTCTGAGGGGCGGGCTTTCGTCAGCAGTCTTGGGATGCTTTTTCACCGTATATATTGATCTGCTCACTCTGAATACAATCTTTTGCCCCCACTTTTTTTTGGGTTTGCGAGAGGAATGGTCGCGACTTACGGATATCTGTTGAACTTCCACCTAATTTTTTTTCCGTTCATTACTATAGAGGTCCCGCAAACGGTAAGCCTTGAAAGTCGATTTGACCCGCTCTGCCCAGCGCGGAATACATGCTAAAAGCCGTTTTTAGAACTTCTATTTCCTTAGTGTATTAATGATTCTGACCAGCGTGAATTTGACTTGTACTCACCACTGGCCAAGGGCATGAACTTTTTTTCTTCTTCCTGGAAAACATAGAAAATAAAATAAATATTTTTTCTTCTTCATCCCTTACGGTTTTCTAAAATGGAAGATAAGACATAGTCTATTTTTTGTTTTTGTATTTTTGCTTCGGACTACTACTTGCTTAAAAGTGTGCCAATGTGGAACAGTGAGACGGCCTTGGGCAAGTTGTTTGAGCCTCAAGGGAGGACGGACTACTATTGGAGTTATGACATTGTCTCCCACGAACTACGTCGGAAGGCCATGTTGAAGAAGTACGGCAAGGAGATAAAAAAACTATTCGGGCCTGAACCTTGGCTTGCGGTATTTATGACCCCAGCTATATTGCTTCAGCTTTATCTGGGTTTGCGGGCGTGTGAAATGAGTTGGCCAGTATACCTGTTTGTGGCTTATTTCATTGGAGGAACAATATCCCACAGTTCGTTTTTGGCCATCCATGAGACGACTCACGACCTTGTTTTTAAAACGCGCGTATTCAATGACTATTATGCACTGTTTCTCAACTCTATTGTGCCTATTCCTTACGCCATGATGTTTAAGAGCTATCATGCTGATCATCATCATTACCTTGGTTGGGAATACGTTGATACCGACGTGCCTACTCCATTAGAAGCCAAATTGCTGTCCAGCTACTTCGGGAAGTTCTTGTTTCTGACATGTCAGGTTTTTTTCTATGTACTCCGACCGTGCATCATTTGGAGAGTTCAAGTTGAAAAAATCCATTTTATCAATTACGCTGTGCAGATTTTGTTTAATATAATTATATACCGTTTTTTTGGTCTGAGCCCGCTGATCTACTTTCTTGTTTCCATTATATTGGGTACGGGCTGGCATCCCCTTGCTGGACATTTTATTTCAGAGCACTATGTCTTCAAGGGAGATGGCAAACAGGAAACTTTTTCGTACTATGGGCCCTTGAACTGGTTAACCTGGATGGCTGGATATCACGTTGAACACCATGACTTCCCCAATATTGCATGGGTTCATATCTCCAAGCTTCATGCGATTGCCCCCGAGTTTTATAATGACCTATATGTTACTGAGTCTTGGCCTGGTACGCTTTATGATTTCTTGTTTGATAAAAAGGTAAATCAGCTTTCCCGCGTTGTTCGTGAAAAAGGAGCTTCTAAGCGCGCAAAATTGTTGCCCACGAAGGTTAAAACTGGGGCTGCGGAATAGACCAGCCTAGTTGGGGAACGCCTTTCGGGGAAAATTGGAGCGCGTACGACATCGCAAGTAGCCGCTAAATGAGTGCCTTCGGCTAGAATTGCAAAACAAAGCTAGATACAAAAAAAAATGTTAGTTGATACACAAAGCAAATAGTGATATGAAAGTTTTTGGAGAAAAAGTTGGACGTAGGTGTCATGAGTACACATCAATGCAGCAAAAAAAAAAGAAACGGAAGTGCGGAAGCCAAAAAAAAAACTAAGGAAAAACGTTGCCCAAATTGTGCGTTGTGCACCTGGTAAGCGGAGCACCACGGACAACAAAAATGGCACATTTTATTTTCCTCTCTTTCTTTCATTTTATTTGTTTTTCATTCTAATTCCTCTTATGCTATTGGAGCACAAGGGAATAGCATGTGAATTGCTCAAAAATATATAATATGTATTGACGATGGACAAAACAAAAGCTCAGTGTTGTTGTTTGTGCTTTTTCCCATTCAAAAGGACGTAGGAGAAGCTTCAATTTTACATGACGCGGAATATCAGCCCCAAAGGCGCGCACGTACACTCATATACGCGCAAAGAAATATCAATTTTATTCTTCTGCTAAAAAACGAACTTCCTTCTTGATGGGTCCTTTTTTGTTATAACAAAATGTATTCCGTGTTTTTTTCATTTATCTCTTTTTCTTTTAGAAGGAGTAATAAGGGAAAGATTCGTAGATGAAGCGATTTGCCGGTTCTTCCTTGGTGGCGGTTTCTACCTGCCGCTATTTCTTCGGTAAAGGATGGGATAATGCCGCTTTGGATACCATCTTCAGCTGCATGCTACGCAAACCTGAAGTGAACGATCGGATCCGGAGTCAATATGCATCTACCATGGATCCTCGCGACGCGGACGTTCTTCGTCGCCTCGGAGAGGTTTCTAAGGAAAACAAGACCTTTATTCGGGTATTTCTTCCACCTCACTTGGGTGACCCTCATCGTCTCTTGAAGTGCTACAGCCTTATGGCTTATCCAATTCTTGACGATAAAGGTGGTCAGTTAAAAGTGGAAATGGATGGACATCATCTTGATGCCTTTGCGGACCCTGATGATGACTATGCAAAGGTGGTTATCCCTCATATTGAGCTTGTGGAATACCTAGCAAAGTCCCTTTTGGAAACAATGAAATGGGAAGCTACCCCAAGAGGTGCTGCTTCGCTCCTTGAATCGCTTTATCGTGGGGCTGACATTCCGGACCACGTCTTCCAGACACCTGCAATCATTGAGCACCTCGGGGAGTTTAAGGATGCTAACAAAGTCACTCAGTAGAACGTTGGGAAATCCATTGTTATCATTCTAAGATTTATTTATTTATTTATTTACTAGGTTTCGGGATTGGGCTAGGAGGTAGTATTAGCAATGGAAATGTAGGTTTTCTAGTGCCTGTCATTTTCATCGGGGGATTATAGGAATTTGGCCGTTGACCTTGAAAGAACAACAGTGTAAGAAAACTGTTGATGCTGCTTTTTGAAATGTCATTGCAATACTAATGGTATCAAATACCATATATGTATATATACATTTTCTTCTCTTTTTATTTTTCTGTTTCTGTTCACATATACATACGCATATAGATTTTGTTATATGAGCGGGCGGGTTACTTCGTCTATTTTAGGTTTAGCTTAGTTTTTGGCTGCATTTGAGTGGTAAAATTGTATTGTTAAATCTCTAGTCATAGTGTGATATAATGGATCGGATTCTAGTCATACAAATGCTTCATAATAAGGCCATGGAGCAAAGGATAAGGGCGGAATGCGATGTTGTCTTTGCAGAAGAAATGGGATTTCGTGAACTTATTAGTTTAGAAGAAGAGTTTAAATGGGAAGAGATGATCAGTTGGACTGAGATGGAGTTATATCAGCTGAAGTTGGCTCTGGATGAGCAAGAAATGCTAAATCACTTTCGCTCCACTGTAATAGGCTCCTTCGGTCTTGACAAGCTGGTGGAAAAAGGAAAATCACTGCATTTCTCAATAATGGCACTGCAAAATCGGTTGAATCGAGCGGAGGAAGCGTTGAAGATATCCAATTCCGGGCCTACTGGGGTTGTTCAAGAGAAACTGCGGAACTGGAACGCGGAAAGGGAGGTCCTTGATCTCCAGATGGAACAGCTGCGCCTCCGAATAGCAAGGTTGAATCAGGGACCTGATGCTGTGGCGCCAACCACGTCGCTAAGAAGCGGGGTGGTGGGCTCAACTAGAAACCGGACGGAAGTTCCTACTGAGGGTATTCCTCTGTCGTATTTAACGGAAAGAACAAGGGAAGTCCTTTCCCGGGCCCGGGATATAATATCGTAATGCATATGGGTTTCTTGACCAATGAAAGGCAGGTGAATATTTGCCCCGAAATTATTCTGATTTGAGCTTTCTGTGCGTGATACATAGATTAAAAGAGACAGCCATCAAAAGGCCCCCATATTATTATGGAAAATTAATACCTTCGCAAAGCGAGCGTGGATGAACGAAATACATTTTATCATGCTTTGACTTGTTTTTTTTCTTAATTACAGAGTTTTAGTGGGAGTCGTTTTACTTCCATTTTCGATTTAATTGCTCTTTTGCTATAAATAAACTTCTTTTTCTTCCCGTTGAGTTTTTTTTTGTCTATATGGTGGTCCAAGTGTTCTAATGCTGCAGCCTGCCATGTTTCATATATATATATATATATATATATATATGCATGTATTGCTTTTTTTTCGGTGGGTTTGCCTTAATTAAAAACGAATCCTCATTTTATTCTGTGATACAGGCGTATGTATTGTCTTTTTTAAGCGGGTTTTAAATAAATTTGTATTGTCCAAGTTGGTTACTAATGCCACTCTAACAATGAAAGGAGAGCGGGAGGCCATAACTCAGAATACTCCCGGTTTCGATGGCAGTTAGAAACTCGCAAAAAAAAAAAAAGAAACAACAACAAAACAGAGTCTGTGCCCCTGTGTGTGCGCGTGTCTGCTGCTTTGTCTCAATATTTGGACGTTTGATTACTATTATTATTTTTTTTTGTGTGTGAGTTTTACATGATTTTCCCCAAAGACAGTCACTTGAGGAGGATAGGAGGGAAAATAGAGCCGTAATGGGGCGAGACGTGGTTAAAGCAAAGGGGAAAGGAAAGCGGGGCGCGAGAGGACGGCCCAGAAGTAGATCAAGAAGTGCTTCAAAAGGCAGATCAAGAAGTGCTTCAAAAGGCAGATCAAGAAGTGCTTCAAAAGGTGGATCAAGGCGAAAGTCGAGAAGCGGATCAAGGCGAAAGTCGAGAAGCCGATCAAGAGGGCGCCCCGTGGCTATTACGCGGCAGAGCGCGGATAGGTCAAGAGGAAATTCTGTGGCCGAATCGAGACGGAATTTTGACAACGCATCCTACCTTTTTCCGCTCCGACTACTGGTGGAAGGGGAGGCGTGTCTCATTGATCCGCATATTTTTGAGTTGGAGATCACGCTTTACAGGCCAACACCTGAAGAGGGTAAGACGCCCCTTTTCTTTGATACTACCGCATGCCTTTTCAGCGATCATGGTGGTCAGACAGATTATGTGGGTATCGGACGCGCGACGACGAACAACAAGGGTCTTTCACATATTCCGCATGCCGTGGTTACGGTCGACGCAGATTCGGTGGGTTCCAGGAATTTTTTGGAACCTGCAGGAGGACCTAGTGTAATAGCTGGGGACGGTGTTAGCGTGAACTTGAAAAGACTGACAATGTGGGCTGGATTTTCTTTATCTACCACGCTTTTTACAGGAGATACAAACCTTAGTGATGTAGTCGATGCATATTATGCTGTGAAGAAGCCTAAAGCTAAGATACCATTAGCAGTTGTTCCCATCACTGTGTCGAATCCTTCTCACAACTCATGCGTGACGTTAATGGTGCGTAAGATGAAGGGAAATGCCAAGACTGTTTGGGAGCTTGTCCGAATTGGTGAAACATTTTCCCAGCAGGATGTCAAGGGAGTTTTGGCCACTTTGCAAAAGCGGGGTCTGCTGAGTCCCACCGGTTACCGTTTGCTTCCCTATCATGGGCCAGATTGCAGCTCTGAGGTCGGCAACGAAGACAGTTTCTCCTTTGATGATGAAGAGGAGGAGGAGGAGGAAGATGATGCTGATGCCGTTTGTAGCTCTGTTGGTGACGAGGGCGAAAAATTTGAAAATCTGCTGGCGAACGTGCCACCTGTGACGCGTGAAGGGAGACGTCAATACAGCGTTGGCCGTTCCATAGTAAATACTGTGCTTGAGACGGCTGACAGCTCAGATGAAGATGAGGTCTTGGAGGATGCTCTTCGGGCAGTTGTCCCGCGTTATACCAGTCTCTGTCCTGTACGTTATGAGGATAAGACATACAATGTGGGTTCTCGCGATGAGGCACTTGCGCAGCACTACGTGAGCCATAGAGAGAAGTATGGCTTAGAAACTGCCGAATCCCAATCGGGGAAAGGGTTTGGCTTGTCCCCTGTATTTACGCCCTTCGTCGGAACTTTGCAGCGATTATCATTTGGCAAAACTGGAATTGCGAGACCTAGCGCACCGACTGAGCTTTTGACAACGATTCCGTCTGTGTTGTGTCGCCGGAGCGGAAATGGGAGGCGTGGACGTTCTTCCATAAGTTCACGCGGGCTTTCCTTGTTCCGCAGTCGCTCCAAGTCGCTTCGGGGTCGCAAGAGAAAAGGAAAGGGAAAGGGGCGGCGCAGCCGCAGCAGAAAATCTCGCTCTCGTGGCTCCAGTTCTAAACGCCGGAAAAGCCGCGGAGGCCGAGCGCGATCGGGTTCGTCCGGCCGGCGAAAGTCACGGAGTGGGAGCGCAAAATTGAAGTTGGAAACCGCCGACGCCCAGAATGGAGGCGGAGAGGAGGGGTGATGGCTGTGCGGTAGCCACGATGTAGTTCTCCTGGGAAGAGGTAAGAAGAGCCTTTTGCCGTTATGTCTCGATTGCAATGGGTTATATACATTTCCAATCTTCTCCCTTGACATTTTGGTTGTTGTGGGTGGGTGTGTAGAATCCTTCAATCTATGTGTTACAGGCATTGATCAGCGTGGAGTCACGCACACGCACACAGAAGAGAGACAAACAACAAGCGAGGCTAAGTACATACACACTGCCACGAAATTGGGTTGTCCGGTATGGCTGTTTGTTTGCGTCTGATGGGATGAATGTAATAGTGATGTACATATTTTTTGTTGTTGTTGTTTTGCTTTCACCCCCCAAAGCGGTGGGTGGTGGTGTCCGATGTGCGAGACGCATGGGGTGCAACCAGGAAGCGGAGTCACACTTGCAGGCCCTGTGGCCTTTTTGACACGCATTCTCGTTTTTTTTTTGTTTGCTTCTTGCTCTTTTCTTTCTCTGTGTGAGGCTATTCGTTCTTGCTTTCTTACCTTGCTTTCCCGCAGCTTAGTTTCTGCCTTGTGTGGCTGGCTGGCTGGCTGGCTGGCAATGCTGCCACACCCCATCCTCGCCACCGAAGACGACAAGGATTATATTCAGCGTAGCATCCTCTCTCTGCCGGACCAGGTGGAGAGTTTCTTTACTCTCTTGGAGCTAGTCTGCCTGGAAGGGAAGAGCGAAGAAACCCCGGCCGCGCACACAAAGCTCCACTCCATACAAGCGACGCTGAAGTTGCTTGGGACAGTGCCTTCGTCGGCGTTCAGACAAACGGGCCCCAAGTTGACAGCCGAGCATGAGCTTCCCAGGTGTCTGGAGCGGATGAGACGCCTGTTTCGCGATGTTGTTGCCGTTGGGCCAGAGACTCTGGCGTGGAAAAAGCACGTGATGCGAATGTCGCAGGAAGCCGCACAGCTTGCACAACACACACAGGTTAGTTTTCCCTCCATCTCTCGCCTTATACGAAAAGGGGTTACGCGTGATTCTGTTTTGTTTACACTGCTCATCATCCTCTTTCTCACTTCCCTTATACTGGCTCTCGTCTCAATGGTCGTTATTCCTTGCATTAGGCCTCCGCGTTTTGTGGGGGCGATGGTGGGGGCCTTTTCGGCTCTCTTTTTGTTGACCTCCAGTGGGTTGATCCTGTTTTACTTTGTAACGTCGGTAAGGGCCCTGCAGGAGCTGTTTGATAGAATGCTTGCGGAGCGCATGCAGGCGAACTCATTTCGTCACCCAAAGCGTGGAAACGCGGATGACACATCCGCGCCGAACGTGACGCTAGCCCCCTCGCGAGTCAAACGCGGTCGGGACACAAGGAGAGGGTACTACGCCATTCCCTATAACGATTCTGTAGGATACATTGAGGGAAAGCACGTGGACGCGCATGTCGTGATGATTGGATTTGATAGAAAGTACCTCATTACTCGATGGAACCTGGCGGCAGAGGCGATGACAGGGTTTCTGGAAAGTGGCTGCATCGGCAAGCCACTTTCCGACCTGCTCATCACACCAAGCGGCGACGTTGCATACGACCTGTCCATGCTGCAGGCGTCCAAGGGGGATGTGCTAAAAGTCAAACTACGCGCCTTTGCGACGGCGCCAGTGACACTCTGTACTATTGCAGCCCCCATTGTGAGTCTTGCTGGGGAAACCATTGGAAGTATTCTGATCTGCGCAAATGCAAAGGATAACCTGGGAACGTTTTGTTCCTACCTTCGTGACTACATAACGTCCGAAGTAAACCTCTCTCTCTCCGAATTGGTTGAGAAGGATGCCGTAAAACCACGGGGACAGGTTGCCGTCGGTTTTCTGCAGTCCTTTATTGCGTGCTCCTTGGACAAACAGGTGCAGGAAATGGCCCGAGAGATGCTTACAGAGTGGGAATGGACGACGGCAGAGCAGTTGCTTGGACAGGCTCTTCGATCTTCCTCCTTACACCACGAAACGCAGGTGGGTTATACGTTTCCCGCCACCTTCTGTCTGCATCCAACGGTGGCTAAAACGATTTCTACTGCGCTGAACACCATGGGAGTTTCGTGTGTGGTTAACTTACAGGTGCTGAGTCACACTTTGAACGTCTTAGCTTTAGCTGTGACGATTACCCCGCGTCACAGGAGGAGTGGATCGTGTTTCTCCGACGAAGAGTTGCGAAATAGTATTACGCCACTCTTACGCGGCGTTTGTGGAAACATGTGCTGTGCTGGTAATAAGATCAGTCTTCGCTTTCCGTGCCAGGTTACAGCCTTCTTGGAGGACGGCGAAGACGCCTTTAAGGCCTTTGAGCCACGCGGGGAGCAGTCTATTATTGACCAAGCGCGTGCCATCGTCAACTGCACGGTTAACGTGCTGGTGCTGATTATGGATCTGGTGGAGCAGCACAATCTTTCCATGACGCTGCTTAAGACGATGTTTGTTTCCCTGACAAGTGTCCGCACGCGAGATAATTTGGAGCAACGTCTGAAGGCGGCCCCAAACGACGTCGACGTCATTGTCTGCGATCGTGGCTGGCTTAATTCAGCCCGTGACCTCATTGTCTCTCCGGATCATGCGGCCATTGTCGTTCCTCTTCTTGACTCCGGTGTATGCTTTGCCTCGCCGGAGTTCCAGTACGTCATTCACTCCCCCATTTCTGGTAATGAGGTGCGGAAGGTTCTCATGGACATCGGCAAAGCTGTATCCCTGCGAAAGAATGCAGCCACGGCGCAGGAGGAGCGGGAACGCATCTTGACGCTTCGACAAGACTCCCCGTGGACGAAGGGAAAGCTGCTCGGTCGCGGCTCCTTTGGCGCGGTGTATGAGGCGACGAGCGACCTGACGGGTGGCAAAATGGCGGTGAAAATGTTTTACTTCTCTGCGGACTGCGATGCGTCTATTAACAAGTTGCTCAATGAAATTAGAATTATGTGCAGTTTGAATCACCCAAACATTGTTCATTACTTTCACTGTGAGCGTAAAGAGAATAACATTAATCTGTTTATGGAGCTCTGCGACGCCTCGTTGGGCGACATCATTATCGGGCGGACCCCCGTCCCGGCGACCCTCACCGTGCTGCAGATTCTTCGTCAGGTCCTCACCGCACTCACCTACCTGCACGTGCGCGGTGTGGCGCATCGCGATGTGAAGCCGCAAAACATCTTACTGAAAGGAGACACGATCAAGATTACAGACTTTGGTACCGCGCGCGAGGGTCAGGCGAGTAAGGACGTGGAGGGCACTTTGCGCTACATGGCCCCGGAGGTTTGCAGGGGCGAGCCGCATTCTAGTCCATGCGACATTTGGTCCGTCGGCTGCCTGGCGTGTGAGCTATTTTCTTGCCCTCCCAGGTTCATGGACAACTCCCTGGTGCTGGCAGAGATGGCGTCCGCCGCCCCGTATTTAGCGAACCTCACAATCAGCGTGACCCTCAACGACTTTTTGCGAAAATGCTTTCATGATGACCCTGAGCGGCGTCCATCTGCGGCGGATCTCCTGCTACACTCAATTTTCTCACCCGCCTGCAGCGCTGAGGTGGAGAGCCTTCCCACTGTTTTTAGGAAGGGCCCACCGCGAGACAATAACTTTTCCATCACGTCTCAAAAAGACTAGCCTGGCACTCTTCGCTATCAACTTCCTTTTTTTTTTCTTCCTGTCCTGTTTTGTTTTTCGTTGGCTGTGCTTTCTTCCATTTCTCCTACGCCAGCCCTCTAGTACCGCTGCTGTCACCCTCCACGCGGGGAATGGTCAGGCGACTGCGAGTCCTCGCGGATCGCCACTTCTTGGGTTTCGAACGAGGGCCCAGCCGCCGCAGATTGTTGTATGAAGCAAATAGTTTGTGTGTGCCAGAGAGGGCGAGGGGAAGTGGGGAGGGGTGCGTGGGTGCGTTGGAGGTCTCGGACTTGCATCGGGGCGTACTGCACCTCGGAACAAACGGTGATCTTTTTTCTTTTCCCGTTTGGGTCTCGGCGTCGGGGGGAAAATGGCCCACTTCATGTCCTTGTTCTGCACACGCCGCCTGTGTGTTTGTCTTGTCTTGTTGTTTCGTTTGCTGGAATCCTGGAGCCCCCGCCTCGCCAGCACGGTCGCGGTGTGGCGGGGAGGTTGTGCGTCGGCGTCTCCTTCGAACAACGTCCCATTCTTATTTATTTGTTTCTTTGGTTGTCTTGCTTTTTTTGAAAGCAGTGCGAAGTAGAATCTTCCCAGGAGAAAACCAATAAAAGGCAAGAGAAACAAACTGCCTCCCCCTACAAACTGTGCGGGATAGTTGCCGACGGTGACGGCACAACCCATCGGGGCGCGGGGGTTTGCTGCTTCCCGTTGGCTCGCCCAGTTGCCACTTGCCCCCCTCTCTCGCTATCCATAAAGAACTCTTCTCTTTATATTCTTTACCCTCCGCTCAAACAAGAAGAAAACAACACACACACACACACCAAAAGGGTAGGCGGCTGCACTGCTTCTCACATACAGCGCGCGCGTGTGTGGGTGGGCGCCTCTCTGCGCGACGCGGCTGTGGAATCGTGAGGGCGCCCTCGAGGAGGGGGGGGGGAGGAGAGAGAGAACTCGCTTTTGGCGGATGCACCGCGCCTGTGCCTGGTTTTGCCACCTCTCTTCCTCGAGCCGCAGTTTTGTGGGGGAAACGCTTCAGCGTCGTCCGGGCGCGTCGCTCCTTGACATCCTCGCGGCGTGGTGCTCGCAGGAAAGCTTGAACGCCGGCTCCAGCGATGCTCACGCGGCGCGAGAGGCCGCTCGGGGCCCGACAGGCGGCTTTGATACTGCCGAGGTGCAGTTGCTCAATAAACTGCGCGAGGACGCCATTAAGTTTGGCTGGCACCGACACCTGCAACTTTGTTCAGTGGCCCACTTTGCGGCCGAACTGGGCAGTACTTATTTACTGGAGTTGCTTTCCTCACAAGGGGTGACGCTGCACGCGGACCACCGCGACGACGCACAGACGTCGCAGGAGGGATCCCACGCTCGGTGTGTGACACTCGAGGCGGTGGTGCTTTCTTGCCCTGACGTGAATGGACGTTATCTTTCACATTTGGCCGCCCAGAACGGGCACTTGGATTTCCTGCAGCGCCTGGTTGAGTGCTTCGGTCCCGAGGCGGTATTGGGGCAGCGCACCGCCGAAGGTGGCCCGCGAAGAAGTGGCGCAGCGACGTCGCTGGATGTGTACGGTGCCGCGTTTGTGTACGGCCAGGACCCAATTTTGGCGTGGATGGAGCGCGCCCATCCCACGCACACATTTGGTGCAGCTGAGGAGGATGCGTTGTACTGCGTGCAACGCGCAGGCGCGTTTGGGCAGCTGGGATCCCTAGCGCATTTCCTGCGGCGTCATGGGGCCGCGTGCCACACAACCCTTCGAGAGGCCTTCTACCCTGCCGCGGAGGCAGGCGCCGGCGAGGTGTTGGAGTTTCTTGTGGAAACACTCGGCTCGGATGCCCTGTGGTGCCCCAGCGACACGGGCGCCACCGTGCTCCACCACGCTGCCCGGCTGGGGCGCGTCGAGTTGCTGGACGGGGTTCTCCAGCGGCACTGCGTCGAACAGCACGTGGACGACGCAGACAACTGCGGGCGCACCCCCGCGATGTGGTGCGTCATGGGCGGCAAGCGGCGGAGCAACGTGGAGTTTCTGCGGCGGCTGCTGGAGTTGGGCTCGCAGTGGCCCACCGCCACGGACCACGGCGGCCGCAGTGTGGGGTCGTTTGCGCGACTGCACCATGCACCCTCCTCGAAGCTGCGGAGGTTCGTCACACGGTGCATTGCCGCGACGCGGGGCCCGGGATGAGTCTTTGCTCTCGGCCCCTGTGAGCACAGAAATTAAGGACTGGGTGGCGAACTCACTTTTTGTCGCCCATAACACACAATACCAGAATGAGGGCGAACGGAGAAAACAAGAAGAGAGAAAAACATCCTCACATTGCCTATTCTCTCGGTGCTTTATTTATTTATTTATTATTGTTATTTTTTTGCCCAGTTTTTCTATTCCTGGCCTTTTTTTTTCTGAGCGTAGTACATGATTTTGCCTCGGCGATCCATACACTCTTTAACACCGTTTTGTGTGGGTTTCTCTTCCCTTCCTTCTTTGGGGTCTCTTTCCTTCCTGCTCTGCAGTACCGTCGCCGCTGCGTGTGGTGCTGCGGCTGTTGTTGTTGCCTGTCACTTTATCCGAGTGTGTGCAGAGCTGCCTGCACTGTGCGCAGCAATGGAGTTGGAGGAGGGGCCCCGGCAAACACACCCAGCGGCGCAGCTCCCCGCCGCCCACCAAATGCACACACACTCACACACAGTGAGAAGAAAGCGGACTCCGCCCCCGCCTGGCTGCTCGGCGGTGCCGATCTTGATGTTTGCCTCATTGCCTATCTTGCAGTGGCCACGGCTTTGTGCCTTTTTTTCCCCCCTGCTCTGTCTTACTTTCTGTCCCACGCAGCTACAAAGAAGCGAGGAGCCCCCACCGTCCCTCGCTGCGGAGAGCAACAGAGCGAAGGCGGCGAGGGTGCGGGGGACGTCACTTCGGATGCCCTCGCAGCGCGCCGTGAGGTCCGCGCAGGCGTTTTTAGGCAATGCGCCGCTGACGTCGGCGCGGGAGGATCTTGGCCTGGAGGATGTGCCGCACAACGACGAGGGGCTGCGGCGCCTGGCCGCCGATGCAAACTGGAGCGCCGTGCTGCTGTTGGCGGAGCAGTTGGCCGCCGAGACGCCCCACGAGGTCTCCGCCAAACTGCGATACACCCTTGTGCAGGTGACGGCGCATTTTAGCATGCAGCGCTACGCGGCCGCGAAGAAGTTGGTGGACGCGCTGGGCGACCTCAACAGCGACCGATTCATCGACCCGGCGACAAACGAGTCGGTGGTGCCCTTTTCCCTTCGCTTCATTAGCGCCCTCTTGCCTAGCTACTGCGGCACCGCCATGGAGACGCAGCGGCGGCTGTACGTTTTGCTGGACGAGTGCCAAAGCCACGCAGGCGTGGCGGCGTCCCCAGCCTGGGAGGCCCGCCTCAAGCGGGTTCAGCGGGCGCTCGTGGTGAGCCACTACCAGGCAGAGCAGTACGCTGAGGCGATACGGCTCTCTGAGGCGATGATATCGGCGGAGCGCTACGACGATGAGGAGCGCGCCGACTTCAGGGTCCTGCAGCAGATGTTGCAACTGCAGCAGCTTGCGACGTTGTGTCTGCACTGCGGCAACACGTTGCTAGCCGAGGATGTCTTTCGGGCAATTGAGGGCCTCAGCACCGCCGACGAGACGGACGACGTCCAGCAGTTCCATCGCTTTCTGCTCATGCTCAACCGTGCACTCTGGCTGACGTTTAACAACAAGGCGGATGAGGCGGCGCACATCTTTCGCGAGGTGGCACGCGGCACAAGTGAGTTTTGCCGCGACCTGGGCACGGCGGGGACCTGCCCCGCCGCTGTTCCCACGGTTTCCTTATCCACCAGCGCCACGGCCGGCCTCGCAGCTGCCAGGGCGCAGTCGGCTCTCTGCCAAAAGGCTTTTCACCGACTCTGGGTGGACGCGGCGACTTCGCACGTGGCCTGCATCCCTTACGAGGCCACGCGCAACAAGAGCCCGACCACCCTGATGGCGGGCATTATTGGCACCCTGGAGGGCTACTTGCGGCAGAACCCTGTGGAGCTGCTGCACTGCGACGCGTTCCTCAGCAACAGTGTGCGCTTCTACACCCTGGAGGGGGGCGCACAGCAGAAGAAAATGGGACTACTGACGGACATGCTTGAGGTATTTCGCTATGAACGAGGGTGTCTGCCGCCGCTGGACAAGATGGTGTAAACGCACCACGAGACTGCACACAGCTGCCACTCCATGTTTCCCCGCTGCGCGGGACTGCCGCCTCGTTTTTTTTTTTTACCCTTTTCAGTTGCTTGCTCAACACCCAACGCAGCCTCCCCTTCTCTATTTTGCCGCCTGCCTTGCGAGGCGTTCTCACCGGCCTTTCCCCCCTCACCCTCTTCTTTATGCCGTTTTGCAAGCTGTGGGCGGGCGGCCTT